AGGAAAATGCTTTCATCATTTTGTTGTTGTATGTGGATGACATGTTGGTGGTAGGCCCCAACAAAGCTCAAGTTCAAGAATTGAAGGCACAATTGGCTAGGGAGTTCGATATGAAGGACTTGGGGCCAGCAAATAATATTTTAGGGATGAAAATTCACCGAGATAGAAAAGATATGAAGATTTAGCTTTCTAAAAGAAATTATCTACGAAAAGTTTTGCAGCGCTTCAACATGCAAGACTGTAAGCCAATATCTACCCCACTTCCTATCAATTATAAATTATCCTCAAATATGAATCCTAGCAATGAAACAGAGAGGATGAAAATGTCTCGAGTACCCTATACATCAGCGGTGGGAAGCCTTATGTATGCCATGATATGTATAAGGCCAGGAATTACACAAGCAGTGGGAGCAGTCATTCGGTTTATGGCAGATCCTGGTAAAGAGCATTGGAATATTGTGAAGAGGATCCTGAGATACATTAAAGGAACCTCGGATGTTGCATTATGTTTTGGAGGATTGAAGTTTGGTGTCAGAGGATATGTTGATTCAGATTATGCAGGTGATCTTGACAAAAGAAAATCTACTACAGGCTATGTGTTTACAATTGCAGGAGGAGCGATACGCTGGTTATCTAAATTACAGACTGTTGTAGCTCTATCTACTACAAAAGCTAAGTATATGGCAGCTACTCAAGCATGCAAGAAAGCTATATGGATTCAAAGGTTATTAGAAGAGCTCGAATACAAACAATCAAAAATTATTATGTATTGTGACAATCAAAGTGCCTTGCACATTGCAAGAAATCCAGTTTTTCATTCCAAGACAAAGCACATAGGAATTCAATACCATTTCGTTCGTGAAGTAGTAGAGGAAGGGAGTGTGGACTTGTAGAAGATTCACACAAAAGATAACCTAGCAGATGTTATGATAAAGTCAATCAACACTGACACGTTTTATTGGTGTAATTCTTCTTATGGCCTATCTAAAACGTAGCAACATGAAATTAACAAGGGATATAAATTTTGGAAACAAACAAAATGACTTTAAGTGGGAGATTGTGAGAATATAAAATCATTTGTTTTGTAGAAAATGTCAATGCATTAGAAATCACTAATTTCTATGATAAAGAGAAGATTAAGCATAATTTACTAAATATGTATCAACTTATTTTAGTACATGAGTCTCTTATATATAGAGAACTCATATTGTTGTTTATGCATCATCCTATAATCATTCAATTGTGTTTCTTCTCATTTCTATACTATTCTCTTATATTTAGCTGTGTTATAATTATTTCATGTTATTCTGATACCCAACAATATATATATATATATATATATATATATATATATATATATATATATATATATATATATATATATATATATATATATATATATATATATATATATATATATATATATATATATATATATATATCTTTTCGAGTGTTAGATCATAGATCTTCAAACAATGATGAAGATAGACATTTTTCGTGTAATCCACCGAGAATGCTTTATAAGTTTTTCAGAAATTATATAAATTATTATTTTGCTATCCTTCAAGGATGTTTGATAAGTTCTTTAGGAACTATATAATAAATTATTATTTTCTATAATTTAAAAATGCTCGATAAATTCTTCAAGAATTATATAAAAATTATTATTTTCCTATCCTTCAGAGATGTTCGATAAGTTCTTGAGAAACTATATAAAAATTATTATTTTGTTCTCCTTCAAGGATGTTTGATAAATTTTCAGGAACTATATAAAGAATTCAATATTATCATTCAAGATATTTGATAAGTTATTATGAAACTATATAACAAACTCATTACTATTCTTTATAGATTTTTGTTAAGTTCTTCGGGGACTATATAACAAACACATTATTTTTTAATCCTTCAGGGATTATTGATAATTATTAAAGATATAATATTAAAATTCAACATGATAATGGAAAAGAATAAAAGAATAAAATAATAAAATAATAATACCTCTGATAGTTGGAGATTTTAGTCCTTTTAAGGTTTTGTAGAGTTTCGTGCTGATAATGTGTTATGAAATTAATAAGAAGAAATATAATAGAAGCCTAGAGATGAAGGAGAGAAAGAAAAAAGAGAAATAATATTGTATTATTCTCATTATCCGTGTCAATTTTAAGTACACATGACTCATATTTATAAGACAAATCAGTATAATATCTCCTAATTGATGGACATCCATAATTATTTCATTTATAACAAATCTAATATTTTAAAGTTGATCAATCAAAATGAACAGTAATAAAAAAGATGTTAAACATTTTTTTCAAATATTTATTTTCCACTCATTTTATTTTATATAATTATCTTTTTCGGACGATTTAAAACAAAAACAAAAATTAAATGGGTATACAGAAACATGTGATTTTTCTACTTAAATGGTAAAATAATATATTTAACAAATATTTATGAATAATAAATTAATTAAGATGAATATTTTTGTAATATCTTTGAGATAAATAGTTAAGGCATAAATTCTAAATTGAGTGAAGATCGTTAAATTGTCAAGACTTGATGTTCATCAAAGGTTGAAGATCAAGATTTTGATAAAAATCAAAGTTTTAATGTTGGTAGCTAGTTGCAAACAAGTCATATCAAGAAACAAGGAAGAAGATAGATTGTGTTGTTATAATTTACCTTTTGATTATATGTATTCATGTAACATGAACCGGAATCAAATAACAAAATGGAAGAACAAGAAACAAATTTTCGGTGGTTCACATTCGAAAACTAGACGTGGGTGTTTGCAAGGACAATATCACCAAACTACAATACATCCTGACACTCGTTCTCTCTCTCTCTCTCTCTCTCTCTCTCTCTCTCTCTCTCTCTCTCCTCTCTCTCTCTCTCTCTCTCTCTCTCTCTATCTATCTATCTATCTATCTATCTATCTATCTATCTATCTATCTATCTATCTATCTATCTATCTATCTATCTATCTCTATCTATCTATCTATCTATCTATCTATCTATCTATCTATCTATCTATCTATCTATCTATCTATCTATCTATCTATCTATCTATCTATCTCTCTCTCTCTCTCTCTCTCTCTCTCTCTCTCTCTCTCTCTCTCTCTCTCTCTCTCTCTCTCTCTCTCTCTCTCTCTCTCTCTCTCTCTCTCTCTCTCTCTCCTCTCTCTCTCTCTCTTATCATCTATCTATCTATCTATCTATCTATCTATATCTCTCTCTCTCTCTCTCTCTCTCTCTCTCTCTCTCTCTCTCTCTCTCTCTCTCTCTCTCTCTCTCTCTCTCTCTCTCTCTCTCTCTCTCTCTCTCTCTCTCTCTCCTCTCTCTCTCTCTCTCTCTCTCTCTCTCTCTCTCTATCTATCTATCTATCTATCTATCTATCTATCTATCTATCTATCTATCTATCTATCTATCTATCTATCTATCTATCTATCTATCTATCTATCTATCTATCTATCTATCTATCTATCTACTATCTACTCTCTCTCTCTCTCTCTCTCTCTCTCTCTCTCTCTCTCTGTCTGTCTGTCTGTCTGTCTGTCTTGGTCAAGGAACAACTTCTAACGAATCAAATTGAGGAGATGATTCAAGAATAGTTTTTTGTGAAAAGTCGATAGCAACACAAATATCGATTTCTGGTGGAATAATTGGATTGGTATGGAAGCCTACGACTTGGAATTTCCAAATATTTTTGAATTTGTGCAAGATAAGAGATCGAATTTGTTCGAATATTCTTATCTGGTTTCTAATTCCTTTCCAGGTTCTTTTATTGACTCCAATCTTGTTGCTACCTTGAAGATTTTATGGAAAGTCAATGTGCCCTCTAACATCCCAGTCTTTGCTTGGAGGCTTCTCCTTAATAGGCTCTAAACGAAAGACGGATTGACAAATCAAAGAATCACAGTGAGCCTTCACAATCTTGTTTGTCTTCTATGCTTTGGTCCCAAAGAATCTCATCGTCATCTCTTCATTATTTATCCCAAGTCAGCGTGGCTTTGGCAAAAGATTTTATATTAGATTGGTCTCGGTGGTCTTGCGACAATACCGTATATCATTTGTTGTTGTTTGAGTTGAAGCTAAAATATTTTCTCAAAATCGTATATCATTTGTTGTTGTTTGAGTTGAAGCTAAAATATTTTCTTAAAAAACATTTTTATCTTCTTTGATGGTTTGTTATGGTTTGATCAATTTAATTAGTTAGAACATTTTTTAACTGTGGTCGCGTGATGGAGATTGTCTCTCTAACTAAATCCTTTGTTTTAGGATTAGGTTGGTGCTAAGTCTCAAGGATTGGTAAATTTGAGATAAGAGCTATTGGCTCCTTAATCCTTTAACAAGTTTTTGTTAAGTCCCGCTTGACTTCTTATTTATTGGTTTTTTTTTTTATAATTTAGGTTAATTACCCCTTATGCTCCATTTAATACATTTCTTTACTTATAAAAAAAAAAATCTATGACAAACCCGTGGATAATAAGGATATTTGTCTAGTTCAACCATAAAAAAATATTTTTAACTCTCTTCTACTTTATTTTTATCTTTTAGTACATGCTATTCACATTTCAAAAACAAAAGTCATTTCTTTCTCCACAATAAAAAGGCATATACCTCTTTCACTTTCACTTTACTACTACATCTGACCCGACTTAAATCTCTCACTAGTCTCTTCATACTCCATTTATGCTCATCTATAAAAAAAAAAAACATATATGTAATAATTACAAAAAGCTAGCTAGTCACGAGAGCACTCGTGATGAATTATTTTCAAAAAAG